AGTTTAAAACGCAACCAACCCCCCCCCCAAAGTGGGGGGGTTTGGTCGAGTGTTTAAACCCCCCCATTGGGGGGGTTAGTTTAGTTTATTACTCAGGGGTTAAAACACTTGAATGAGACACTAAACTAACTCCCCTTTGGGACTAACCAAGGTTGGTTGCGTTTTACAAATTTGAACAATCCCCCCTAGGAGCTCCGAAAGGAGTGCCCTGCTCTAGTACTATAAAAATGTCTGCTGGTTGCACAGAAACAAGCCAAAGGTTGAGAACTTCAGACTATGATTTAATTCTCCCACGTTGTTTGTATTTCATACCTTTTAGTTTATGGGGTGACTTTCTCTGGAATTACATATAATGGATATGAGGCCAATCAATTTAAGTGGGCCATTTTTTAGCATTCATGAAATGCATGTTAAATTTACGATCCATCATCACCCTTGATAAAAGAAAAGCCAGTCAGCTTTGGCTGTTAGAGGGCTGTTATGCCATGGATTATTATTATTTAACGAGATTTGAGGTTCTCAAGGCAGTGAAATTGTTTTTTGGGTTGTGTCCCTGTGTGGTTGCTGAAGATGGAGTTGGTGCTCTTCTCCAAAACGTTAGTAACCACTGGAAAGACCACATGGTCATGACATCTCATTCAGGAGATTACAGCTAAGAATAACATTTCTTTTTTAAGTAGAATTTGATGTTGCATGGTGCAACTACTTAGAAAACAGCCGTCTTCATTTTTTAGCTCCAAAACAGCCAGATTTTTTGGGAAGCCCATTTGTCAGAAAAATCTGTATTTTGATTTATATTTGACCCTTGTACACCATTAATGAGTTACAGGAGATGACTTTTTAATACAGGCAACTACTCAGTTTTTGTTGTTTATATTGTTGCACTGTTCATTGCCCTTGTTGATGCGGTATGTCAAATCGTTAATTTAATATTTTTTTTGTGGGGGGGGGGGGGGGACGATTGAGATGTTAACGTTTTTGCTTTTCGATGAGAGTTACCCATGGATGAAACAAAATTTTGGATGGCGCCACGTTCCTCGTCTGTGATTGATTAGCTGTGTAGTATACCGTGTATGGACGAGAGAATGGCATCTACTTAATGTTGACAGGTTTGCTGGTCCGTGCTGGAGTTCTGTGACCTGTAGAGCAGCTGGTGGTGTGTGCCAATGTAAGGCATAGGCAATTCATCTATGTGGTTATGTTATAATACCTAAGGTGTGGTATATTACAGAGTAGTGAACGTTTTAATATGTTCTAGCGTGAAAATTGTGAATTCCCTATTTCAGATGGGAAAATAGTGAAATTGTTTCTAGTCTGAATACTTACGCTTTGCTTGTTAGGTAATTCAAGTGTTAGTGGCTGAGGTATGTAATTAGTTGAGTTTAAAAAGGGAATTGGATTAAGTTTGCTTTTTCTTTTGTGAGAGTATAGTGAAGTACTTTTCACGCCATTGTGGATTTATAATCACAGATTCATTTATTGAAGTAAAATATGTTGAACTTTTGACAATTTTAGTGAGCACAGAACTGCCTTGTCTGATTTTCAGCTTTCATACGAGTTTATTGCGTTAAGTGAGAATGTATGATGTGAACGCATTTATGTTAGCGAAGTAGCCACAACATAAAATTGCCACTCTTCGTTTCACAATGATAATCACCTGTCTCTGCATTGGATATTTATATGAGGCATTTGGAACCAGTTCTGATTCACTTCTGGCTTATTTTATCGATGTTTTCTCTTGATACAGGTGCACAGCTGCCAGCTGTGTTGGGCCAAGAATGTTGTGGTGTGTTACTGCAATATATTATGTTTTATTGTGGTCTCATTTATTCCCCGTATTCTCTCGTGAGCCAGTAGGGATACTGGGTGGAGTCCGATGCTGTAGTAGCTTAACCTGGACATATTGATCTGTTTGCTGTTGTTGATATTTTCTTTCATCATTGCTGGATGTCCATACTTGTTGGAGAATGTTGATGGCTGGGTTCTGGGATCAAGTAAATCTTGTGTCTCTGTTGAAGTTGTTAGGTTGCAATTGGATCTTATTGGCAGTCATGTCACTAATCACATCTGCCCTGATTATGGAAGCACAGTCTTTGAAATGTTGGCTTGTAACTTCATACTTACACATCTGATTGATTGTGGACAAAAGTTATAAAATGTAATGAGCTAAATGTTTCATCCCTTAGTACATTTATGTAAAGATGATCCATTTTTTAAAAATAAGATGAAGTGGATAATATGAAGAAGTCCTAGAGTTTTGGCTTGTAATATTCATTAAAACAGGAAAGAGGGGGAAGCACTATGGCTTATTTTATTGTTACAGCTTGAGAAGATGGCAACTGGGAAACAGTTTGATGACTTACCAAATGAAGTACTTCTGAAGATATTCTCATACTTGAGCATTGAAGATTTGTCAATGTCTACACACGATGTGAGCATACGCTGGAGAGAAGTGTCACAAGACAATAAATTATGGAAAAATGCTGTCTTCAGTCCTCGAAAAGAGATAACTGATAAAGAAATAATTAAATATCTAGAAAATATGCCAGCACTGAAATCATTTTCTGCTACACGAATAATGGCAAATATAGTAATTGATACTTTGTGTAGGTCTTGTAGAGCCATACAAAGTATAGAGCTTCACACTTCACATAACATGAAAGTTCCACTTCTGCAGAAAATAATACATCACTTTCCACATATTGAGTCTCTTAAAGTTCCTCTTCCATATCCTGTGTTACTAGAGCAATTAAAATTTGCTGAACTTATTGGACAGTGTCAGTCATTAAGAAGATTGAGTTTAGATGGAAACTCTGGGCACACATTCATACGTCAAGGAGTTTTGATACCAATAGCATATGGATGTCCATCACTGCAACATATGCATCTAGGAAATTATGGCCAGATAGATGAAGATATCCAAAATATATTACAGAAAAAGAGTCATCACCTTCTGTCTTTTTCTTGTAAAATATTTGTGACAAAAGATATAGCAGAACATATAAGTGAATGCACAAAACTTCAACATCTTGAAATTGAGAACTATAATGATCATTTATTGTTTGATGATATTAAGTCTCTTTTAAAAATAACACATTTGAAATATTTTACGTTCCGTTTTTGTTCAGAAGATGTTGTAAATAATCTGCCTTTGTTCTTTCTAAGTGGAATGTTTTCACAGATAGTACACCTTGACCTAAGTGAATCTTATTATATTAATGACATAACTGTGACTACAATTTGTGAGACATGTCCTCAATTACGACATCTGAACGTTTGTGGTGGTCAGAGCCTACAGAATGATGGACTCCGATATATTGGAAAATGTGTTCATTTAGAACATCTGGATTTATCTGTGTGTATGGATCTTACAGATGGTAGCATGGAGTATGTTGGTTCAGGCTGTCACAATCTAAAGAAACTTGATATATCAGGATGTTATAAGATGACAGACAGGGTGATTGAACACGTTGTGAAGTGTACAGAGTTGCGAGTTCTAAAATTCAATTACAATGACCTAACAGGATCAACTTTCCACCTTATCTCAACTCATCTCCAGCACTTGGCTGAAGTACACCTTGAGAACTGCATGTATTTGGATGATGTATATGTAGATGAACTCCACAAACAAATGCCACGCTTGAAGATAATAGTGGCACGGCGATGTAAGGAACTATATCTTGATCCAGAAGATGCTGTACTCTTTGATTATCTGTGTATATCAGAGGAGTTGTCACTGTCACAAGTGTAAAGTAAGATACAGAAAGAGTAGTAGTTGTAGTTGTGTACACATGCACGTATAAAATGGGAAACATTTCTAAAGATCAGTTGGCTGATAAAAATACAAGTTTTTATCATGAATTTTCAAAATTTGTGTTATTTAACATTGTACTTTCCAATTAAAATAGATAAGATAGTGTGGTGACTGGTGCAACATAAACACTTCATTTATCACCTGCATGCTTATCACATAATCTCTATTTTAATGAAGTGAAAATTAAAGTTGTGTTTGTATATCACTAAGAAATTGCTGATTTTTATTCCTTGTGTTGACACTGTGTACAGCAGAATTAGTTTGAAAGAGTTCTTGGTTATTTACAATAAAGTTCATTAACGAGAATATGTATTCACAAGGTAGAGCTAAGATCTCTAATCTCTTAAATAGACTTCTACATGAATTTCTAGGTTTTACACCAGCCAATAATCTAATAATTTTCTTTTGTAAAGTGAATATTTTTTTACTGTTTGATGAATGTCCCCCAAAAATTATTCCATACTTCATTAAAGAGTGAAAATAGGCAAAATATACTGATCTGAGTGTGTCAGTGTTGCTGACATGCAACAGAGATCTAACTGCATAACATGCGCCACTTAACTTAGGTATCAGTTTATCAATATGATTTGTCCAATTTAGGTGATTATCAATTTGCAAACCCAAGAATTTTGTGTTTATTGACTCTTGTATATACTTCCCATTATAACCAATACTTAAAGCAAGCTGTGGTGAGTTATTTGTTATAAATTTTATTATATTCGTTTTATCTAGATTTAGGGCCAGCTTGTTAGCAGTAAACCATTTACTCATATGAGGTTTTTCATGAGTACAATTTCCAGAAAGTTAGGGACATTAATTTTATTACCACTAAAGTTTTTCACATACTGTTCTATTCAGTAATTTGTTACATAATTTTCATAATTGTGAAAGCACATAGTGACAGTTGGTAAAATTGTTTAGCTAAAGTATTTTGAAATGTGGGTAAGAAGTAAAATCAAATGTGACCTTTAAATGAATTTCAGTTACTCATACTTAAGGTATGCAGATGAATGAAGTCAGCTATTCATGTAAGGTATTTTGATGAGTACAAAGCATTTTCACAAAAAAGAGAAGCCTGCAGTTGTTACAGCAAATGTTTGCACCTTATTTTTAAATCAATAAGCATTCTTCTTCTGTTTGCAAATCAGTTACTGAATGTGAGAAAAAACAGTGACATGAGTGGTAACACATCTTTCAGCAAAATATTTGTTTTGAATTGTGGGTATGGAGTAAATTGTGATTCAGCCAAGAACTTTTCTGCATTTCTGTTAACACTGAGTACTACTTCGATCAGTATTTGTATCAACTGCAACTGCATGTATAACTTGGGAATGACAGTAATAAATCAACTTATATTCATAAAGAAATTAACAGGATATCAAATTTAGGGAATGCTTGCTGCCATTCAGTTCATAAACTATAATTTTACCTGTTGTTTTGTATGGAACTTGGTTTTCTACCGTAAGGGTGTTTGAACAGGATACTGAGGAGAATATTTGGACCTAAGAAGCAAGAAGTAATATCAGATTGGAGAAAATTACATAATGAGAACGAGGATGGGATAAATAGAGCATGAAGAATGAACAACAGAGAAGAGAAATGTGTAAAAATTTTAGTCAGAAAACCTGAAGGGAAGAGATTCTGGACATAGATGGGTGAGTTTCATAACGTTCAGTGTTTGGAAGACAATGTTTGGGTGAATGTGAAATATTTTATGGTTTGGTCTTTCCTTTACATGAATTATTAGCCCTCTACATACTATATTTTTATAAGCTTTTCTAATGTCTTGTGCTAAGTATTTTTATATTACTGTATCTGAAATGCTTCCACCTTATCTTTGTCTTATGACTGTAAATCTGATCGAGAAGGCTTGCAGACATATTTTTAACTACTGTGATTGCTGTATTACTATGTACACCTTCATTGTTATCATCTATGTCTTCAGTGTGTACCTTGCAAACTGACATCTGTTTTTCAGATGCAAAGCTTACCCTTCCAGTGAGAGAGAAGTGTTACTGTGCAAGTGAAAAGTACTTCAGTAGTCTGAACTGAATACTTATGCAATAAGGAGGGTTGTGTGTCAGGTGCTTTATTTTCGGCATGTAGCATTGGTGGCATGGAAATGAGCTCGTTTCTATAGAAGCATGTATTACTTAATGGGTTAATGATTGACCACGCTAAGGAAAATCAGAACTAATTGTGGAAACAACCCTTTCAACATTAAAATATTTTAGGGTGGACTTTCTAAGGTTTATTTAAGATGGCTTAATATCAGTAGCAACAGGAGGGGTGTTAACACTGATGTTTGAAGTTTCATTATTGTCTCTGATATGTCAAGGAATTGTGGCTAGATTTTCTTGCCTAGACAGTTGGGCATTCATATAAGGTAGCCCTCGATTTACGCCGGGGATGCGTTCCTGGATGAACCGGCGTAAATTTAAACTCGTTTATAATGTAAATCAATGGGAAGTCAATGACATGCGTTCCCAGCAACCAAACAATGACGAGTAATATAATGGCATTACATTTAAAGATCTGAAATAACGTAAATAAAATAAAGGGAATTTAAAAAATATATTTTATACACTTACAATCGGCAATTCGTTGGCTCCCGCGATTGATGTGTACAGTCATCTCTGCTGTTATGTGATAGTTGCATTCATGTAAGACGCCGACCTATAGAAAATCACATAGTAAAAATAACCCCGGTAACTCCGCAGAGATTAAATTAGTCCTTTGAAAGTTTAAAGCGCCAGGAATGAAATTTCATTTCACAAACAGCTTTTACCGATTCATCAACCTCATTGGAGCAAATTCGCGTTAACGAAACATACGTAATTGCAGAGATGACTGTATTTATAATTTTTATTCAAAATCAGCGATGTAAGAATTACGATTTAGTATAAGAAGCAATACGAGAAACATTGCCAAACGTTATAAGTAATAGTAATTTTTTCACTTTGTGACTATCTGGTTTCAAAATCAGCGTTATTCTGAACCGGCGCAAATCAAGGGCTACCTGTATTATAAAAGTGGTTCAAATTTGACCCAGAATATTCATTGTTCCTTGTAAACAATAACATGATAAAGTCAGTTACTTTGAACACCTCATCAAACCCAATAAATAAAATTACATGAAGGGGTAACAGTTTCATGTTATTTAATGCTTTATTTTTTTATTTCTACAAAGTGCAACTAAGCTAATGAAAGAGACACTGTTAGGCGACTGATATAACATAGTGTATTTGGTGATCTGAGTAAATACAAGTTTCTGTGTATGTCATGGACCAAGTCATATTTTGATTTATAATTCTTAATATTACATTAACATGATAGTATATCACATAGCACCACCCAGATATGCCTGGAAAAAATTCAGTTGGGAGAACTGATACAATAAATAAGGGAAGATTGCCTATATTTTCAAAACAGAGCAGATGCCAAAATATATGGAGAATTCCCATGTTTATATACCACAAAATGAAGTTCCTTTTATGTTATAAAAGGTGCAGAGGCATTTCCAAGAAACAGGCAATAATTTCTTCTGTAAGTTTGCTGTCTTGTCTTGTTCATTTTTACTGAAAATATGTTACAATAAGCAACAGAAATAAAAATATTTTCCACAACTGATCCAAATTGTTGTCAGTGATTTCCAATTAGTGATGTACATACTGCATAAAAAACATAATTGCATTCAAACAGATGACTTTAGGATGTCAATAATGTGGAGACAGCATATGCACATTATGAAAAAGGGTTTTTTAATCACAGTATAGAATATTTTGTTACATTATTTTTCTTTCTTTCTTTCTTTCTTTCTTTCTTTGTAGACCATGTCAAACCTATTATATTTTACATCACTTTCATAATAACTGAGAAATGAAGAAAGTTGCATCTGCTAGGTCAACATCAGGTTCCTCATTGTCTGCATGACTTCCTATAATTTTCAGGTGTGGCATTTCTTCCTGAAGTTTGTCCAGACACTTGTCATCTATAGAAAAACAACCCTCAACATGGAGTTCAGTCAGACACACAAGGTGTGAAGGAATCATATGAAAATTAATTCCTAATAGATTCAAATTCCACATTAGATTAAGAACCTGTAGTTCTTTGCTTCTGAATATGTTTTCCAATACTTCATCTGTCATTTCAGGACACTGTTGAATATCAAGGTACTTCAGTTTCTGACAACCCGTACAAACATATTCAATGCTTTTATTTGTAAACCCAGAGCAATTTCCAATATCAAGATGCTTCAGGTTGGGACATCCAGCACCAACATATTCCATGCTTTTGTCAGTTAATGAAGCACAAGAAGCAATATCAAGATGTTCTAGATTATTGCAGGTACCAATGTGTTTGAAGCCAGCATCTGAAAGATCATTTCCACGAAAAATAAGAAATTGGAGTTGAGGGCAATTTGTCAAAATACCAGTTAGTGCTGCATCATCAAAACCATCACAGAAACATATATTTAATTTAATTAATCTAGACAATGACTGCTTCTTAAATATGTTCTGTATATTTGTTTGGCCTTGTTTAAAATATGAAATTGTCAAATTGTGCAATTTTGACAGCTTTGAGAGAAACTGTATGTATGTACTTGGCAAATCTTCATTATAATTTTCATAAAACAGATATTCCAGATTACTACATTCTGTTAAGAGTCTGTGCGCTAAGGTTGATATGTAGCATCTGACAGAGAAAGACAGAAGTAGTTGTCCCTTTCTTTCCAGAAGGTATCTAACATCCTGATCTTGGAATGTAGTATTTCCTAAATCTAAGTGTAATAGAGATGGACATCCTTCAGCAATTGCTTTGAGTACTCCATTTGCAACTGTGTGAACATACTGATCAGTAAAACTTAATGTTGTGAGATTTTGAAATTGTCCTATCATACCAGCAAAATCTAATTGATCTGATTCTTTGGGGACAGGTATATTTAGGTTCTCTATGTGGGGATGATTTTTAAGAATGTCTTGCAGTCTAGAATTGCTCAGTCTGTGGGACCACTTGAATTCTATGTGTCTAATGTCTCTACAATATTTGCACATTGTATCAATGATGACTTTTGTCTTTGTTCCTCGACTAAATATGAAAGCTCTTAGTGCTGGCATATTCATAAGATGTTTTGCTATTTCTTCATCACTCATCTTGTACCGCGGACTGAAAGTCTGATTCTTCCATAGTGACTCATCTTGTGACACATCCTTCCAGTGTAAATTAACATGTTGCACAGACATTGCAAGGTCTTCAATATCCAAATTTGAGAAAATCTCCAGTAACATCTCATCTGGTAAATCTGTAAAACATTTACCAGAGGCCATTGCTGGGGTGAGAAGAGATCCACAGTCAGCAAACTGAAACAGTGTGAAACAAATCAGGCAGTGCCAAACACTGCTCTCTTCCTTGCAGTATATAATGAACAAACATATTCTAAATTATTTGAATTTCATACACATATACAGAATTGTGTTTAGTTGAAAAGTCATGTAATAATAATAAAAATGGGTCAAAAATACATATTAGGGGTTTATAAAGCTGGTGTTTACATTTATATACTTGCAACCATACACTACCACACAAATTGCCAGCAGTATAAGCATTACCTCCCACATTTTGTTTTGACTTAAAACATATGAACTGAAAAGAAAACTAGGAATGAAACTATAAAAATGTTCATAAGACAAGACTGTCAGGATCCTCCTTTCTTGTAGGATTTGAGGTTTTCATGGTGGTGAGTTTGAAGATGGTTGTCTTCTGATAACCATCTTTGCCTCTGTCTTAATACATCACTAATATTACATTTTATAGAATATTAAAATGTCTTCATTAATGCTAATAAAGTGGGTACTTTTGAGCAGACTATATGTATTAATACAGAACACTGAAAATCCTTATTCATTCTGTAATGAATTCATATCTACACAGAATTCAAAGAAAGATCACCATACACTACTCTATGGGCATACATTGCTAGAATATTCAATATAGACAATCAGTTGTGTTGGTTTGTTCTTAAATTGTGATCCATTACATGGTATATTTCACTGCATCATAAATTAAGATTACTATTATATTCTGTGGCAGAAAAAAATTGGATGACACCACTTATTTTTGAATTAACTAGTATACTTCAGTGTAGTTAGACTAACCTATCAGTAAGACATTTCCATATGATGCTAGCATAATATAGATGTGTAATTTAAAAACTTGTTGTTTCATGATATTCACTTGCAACCTGTGTAAATCAACTTGTAGCTCTAAATTCTTTATTTACAACGTGAGGTGCAATTCTTAATAACAGATGGTAGGATGTGCAATACTCGTCATAAAAAAATAACTCATGACGTTTCAAGTGACGTCCAGTAATTGTATAAACTGATATGAACGACATTATTAACGTTGCCCGCCCCACACAAAAAAATTGACATTGACTGTAAATCTGCGACCATTAGTCACATTCAATTGCACATGTCTTGAACTATATCAGACAGCAATCTCGAGCATCTGTGATCACAGGTACCTTTAGTTGTGCATTCCTCGTAACATTTCTGTTGTATGTAAATAGCAATACGGAATTTATTATTAAAAGGAGAAGTGTAGTCACATGATCGAAGGGAAATACAATTTGTACATCAATAATTACTGTAAAACTACGTATGTTCTATGAACCTGATTGTAGCAGGAGTGTTACTTTACTATGTAATTGATCGATTAATTGAACCTAATTTTTCGGTCGTCTGGTTATGGGAAATAATACGTAAAATTGGACGTAGAACACAAATCTCAATGCTGTAATATTACCTTCGTCTATGTTTGTCCCAACAGAAACATTTGTCGAGACGTTTAAATAAATAAATTTCCCGTGGACCAACGGCTTTCACTTCACAGCCATACATCAGCAGTTCACAGCACTACTTGATTACGTCTTCCCCATTTTATTTTAAATGGCTGAGGGAATTGCACAATATGTATGAGACATGATTTGAAGACAGTTACACCACATTACGCTATATTTTCTTGTGCACTGACGACAAGAAAATGATTAATACCCAAACAATTTATATATATTTGTACATTATAAATCGAATATTGACTTTCTAATAAAACATAAATGTGTTCATTGTATATAAACGTACATCTACGTCAAAAATACGGATAATGCATACATTTCTGTTACGCATATGAATTCAAATTTCATGTGTGAGAAACTCATTTTGTGGGTTAAAACTTTTCGTATACGGGCAGAACTGAACGATGTAGAGGTTACGTTTACTGCCGTCAAGCGAATTAAGGATTTATTATTCATATACATTATGTATGAGTTCTGGTGAAGTAAAGGTAATCATACATTAAGAGCAGGATTCTAGGGCCAGTATTAATAAACTTCCATAACCATTTACAATCCGTACAGTAAGGATGTACATAGATGGAATTTCAAATGTAGCTTGTTCGAACTCGTTTTAGTAGGTGTATTTTAAAATTTAATAATTTAATCGATTGCTATTGGTACTTACAGTTTTCTGTCATCATAATGCCTTAAAAAAAGTGGCTATATTGTTGAGGTTATGTGTTGTTAATCGACACAAGTGCCAATTTGCAGAAAGCATGTTTTTAATTATATTAAAATTATTTGTAACAACATGAGAAATTCAGAGGACATTTTATACTCCCTTGTTCAGTTGCTGTGAATTGTTAAATGTGATAGGTTGTACTGATAGTTCTTTATCTCTTTGGACTTCAAGGACAGTAATCTAGAGTGTAGTTGTTTTTAAGATACTGTCACAGGTTCCAAATTATTTTCTGTCAACATTTTTTATATAAATAACTGTTATACTGTTACTAAAATTTAATGATCACTTGTGTCAATGAATCAGCACTGTCTGCATAGAAATAGCATTGGCTAAGAGTTATATGTATGCATATCACCATCTGCCTTTTGCACAATGTTCTTTATTCATAAATAAAGAATGTTATTCTGTATTTATGAATAAAGAACACTGCATATGCCAAAGGCACTTGGTGATATACTGATGTACATTTGAAGTCACATGGAATGAATGGATAAAAAATTGAGTTACTTGTATTCCAAGGTACATTTCCAGTAGATTTGCTTTGTGACGTATGACTTATGGATGTTTGCCTCTAGTCAAAGTAGCATGTACTCTGACAGCTAGCAGTTTGGAACTGCTTGTTTCAGTGTTTGATGTTCAAATGAAGAGGTGATAACAGCACAAAATTCTTCTGCCCAAGCCATACAGTTGAATGAATTCATGACCCTGATGAGGCAGTAAGCTTTTTTGAAATGTTGCTCAGTATTTACTAGACTACACAGTGCTACATACCACATCTTCATACTTCTTGCTGTGAGAATATCAGATCTCATGTCTGAACCAGATGGCTGATTTTACTGACATTTGGTATCATATTTAGAAGTAATGTTACAAGGTTCTGGTTTGTCTCTTGTGAAACATTTATTAACCAACTCCTTCCTGAGAAGACAGTAGTTGCGCATCTAATCAAATTACCTAATTGAGAACCATATTAAGTAAATCCCACCAATACACTATCCTGAGCCAGATGAATCCAATCCACATCCTCATACCGTTTCCTCTAAAATACATTTTAGTATTAGGCACCCACCTATACCTACGTCACTCAAATAGTCTCTTCCACTCAGGTTTTAAGACTAAACTTGTTTCTTTGCTATGATAATATCTGATGAAAAGGATAAATTATGAAGCTCCTCATTATGAAATTTTCTCTAGCATCCTGTTCCTATCTCTCTTCTTTGACCCAAATATTCTCCAAAGCACCCTGATCTCAAACACCCTCAATATGTGTTCTTCCTTCATGGTGAGATACTACATTTCACCCATATAAAATTATAATTTTGAAGATTTTGATGAAATGTCTGAGTCTCATTTAATTTCATAACATCTAGTTTAAGTACATGCAATTAAATATTGGTTCAAATGATAAGAAAACATTTTTGCTTTCAGAAATATATTATAATTATAATGCTAAAGGTTCAGAATTATCAAGCACCAGGTATTTTATAATATATTTTAATATATAATTCATTGTGTCGTGACAGGGAGAGATGCAGGTTCAAGACGTATGCTTTTACTAATTTGCTGCACAATGGCAGACTTCAGTTCCTTCATCTTTTGTCGCCATTCAATCCAACGGGCAACTTCGGGATTGTTTCGATCTCCACGTCCCTCTAGTTGTTGATAATAGGCCTCACGAAGGATACGGAATGCCTGCATATTGCTATAAGGTAGTTGCGTAACTGGATCAAAATACCGAGCTTGCAGCCTGCAAATAATGGAAAATCAGATTATGGGTATGTATAAACACCTAAGTTTAAAGACAGGAACAAACTTAAACTTCACTTTAAATTGGTAGGATCCAATGTTTTCTTCTTTACAGTTCATATGTTGAATTCCTCACTTGCAAATAAAATTATAGGTGCTTTATACTAGTTGTATAAGAATGAAATGTGAACAGTAAATTTGAGATTGATGTATAGGGGAGATATTATGAAGAAATGCATTATTGTGTACTTCTGCTGGCATTGTAAGTGGAAGTGGCAAAGCAGTAGCTGTCTAATAAATATGTTGTGATCACATTCAACAATAATAGAAGAATGTACTTCAGTTGAGCTCTTGAAATAGTGGTATACAGAATCTTAATGTAATTTAGAAACATATTTGTAGGGAAGAATGGTTTTATGATTTGCAAGTGACACGAAAGTATTGTAGTTTTTTCATCTTATCTATCCTGTACTGCAGTCCTGTGGCAGACATAAGTGCTAAAAGATTGATATACAGTGCCTCAAACATGGTGCCTCCTAAATGAAACATGTGTCAGCCATAATACTGAAATGTATGGTTACAAAAATGTCTACAGTATGGATTGCCATGTTGAGGTATGACTATTTTCAAAGCTTATAACTTTCCTTGACTGTCAGTCATGATCTTTTGGGTTGTGACACCATGTGGTTTTGTAGGTAGTTACCAGTGTTTACTAAGAACACATCTTCAGGTGAAGTGACTTGCTCTCCTCCAAAACGTTGTTAACCACCTACAAGATCACATGTCATCACAGCCCAGAACACTGATCAACATTTTCATTGCCATGAGAACCTCTTTTCCTTGACCTAGTATTCAGACACTTTGATTTGTGCAACTTTCACTGGAATAAATGAAACAAAGTATATTGCAGCATTTAAAATGCTTTTCAGATAAAACACCATATGCAGAGATTTAACACTTTTCTGCTCAGAGAAAATACTTTGACCTAATAAAACACATTTTCAAGAATAACATTTTGTCTTTCTTTTGGAACATATGTTTAAAAATGATGGTGACATGATAAATAAAAGTACCTGGTAATGGGACAGATGTTTCTTGTTGGGGGCTTTGGTTGAGTCTGTGGGAACGCATTTCGAAACACTTGCTCATCGAGGAAGGTGATAAAAGTCCTCTCATACCGACCATCATTTATAGTACTCCCCACTTCTTTGCTCTTCTCTTCTTCATTCTTGTTAGCATCTTGTTCAGTTTCTTCCTCATTTTCTCTTTCATTACTGTAACAAAAACCCAACAGGTTCCACAGTTTTACAGATAACAGTAACAATAATTATAATTTAAAATCCATTTTTAGGAATAATTTATGTTATAATGTTATAATGCTGACAGTGCTCTGGTGTTTAGGGTGTATATTCACCACTTACAGACTTCAATCCAGAAAAATCATGTACTAATTAAAACAAAGAAAGATTGTGCTATACATTAATAAGTATATCTCTTTTAGATAGTGAATGACCTGTGCCATTATATTGGGATGATGAAATTAATTTATGCTTAATTTTATAAGTTTTCAACTTTTATTGGCATTATTTATGTATTTTTAATAATTTTGATAGATTCCTAATTGAATAAAACCATTATAAAACAATTCACTTGCATGGCTTTCAGCTTTTGGGCACATAAGCACTTACTAATCCTTAGCCCTGACTCTAGTATTTTTATAGCATGATTTAACATGATCTAATAACCTTGTTAAAATTAAGATTATTGGAATAAATTTCACTTGAATTGTTTCATTATTACCAGCAAGCATCAGATTTAGTGAAGTAAAATGCCTTAGGAAACAGTTAAGCACAAGGCAAGAACCTTCCAACTTCACTCTAGACAATCCTTACAAAATTAATTGAATGTTTGAGAAATTGTGTGAATTTACCACTTTTCAGTAGTCTCTGTGACACATGTGGGTTCCTGTTTCTCACGTTCATCATCTCCCTCATCCACAGTAATTGGGCTTTCTTGCTGATCATGATGCATCACTTCAATTAGGGGCATTGACATAGAATGATAGCGGATTATTGGTCCCTGAAATGTCTTCTTCACAGTTCTTGTCTTTTTCTTTTCCATCTCTAGTTTCTGATACTTCTCTGTATGTAAGAATTAAGAATACATTTTTTAAGGTCTTGAATAATCAAGTATTATCTTAGTGAGGTTTGAGTTTCTCACAGTAATGATTATGACTGTCTTCTGGGTTGTGGCACTGTGTAGTTTGGTAGAAGTTCACACATTTCAGTATGATGAGTACTCATCACCCTAATGACTGAGGTAGCAAGCACCTCTGAAATGTCAGTAAACTTCTACCTGACTACATGGCATAACAAACCAGAATCCAGTCATCTTGAGTTTATCATCTCATTTGTGTTTTTATCTCTACACTTGTGTGTGTTTGTTTAATTTCATTTAGTGGTTTCCATCCTCTTATATTCTTCTAGTTGCAACACAACCACAATTAGTATTTATAATGCACTGCTCTGTTATTACTTGACTGTTTAATTCATCAATCAGTGTGTTATAGAAAGAAGAAAAGAAGAACAGAGTTTTTGTACATGTCAGGGTACTTGAACCACTTCCCCCTTTATTAATTTGAAATGCTGACAAACATCAAATATAAACTAATAAGACCCCAAAATAAAGGGATAAAAGTAGCAAATCCACAGGATGGTACATACATACTTTGTATACTTACCAAGAGATTTAAGGTTTTCCTGTTCAGTAATTTTAGCTTCTTCCAGTAATTCCTCTTGAGTGGGCTGCCATTCATCCCGAGCCCTTGCTCGCCTACCTTTACGTCTACGTCCTTCTTCAGTTCGTTCTTTTAAGCGCTGCAGAGTTGCAGCTGATTTGGCTGCAGTTGACCGTCTGATTGATTTGCGTTCTAATGAAATATTAGGTTTATATACTACACGTGTTGCTACATATGTTTTAAATATTGGAAAGTTAATATAAATCCTGTGTTTCATTCAATGTGACTAACATACTGTTATTTATAAAAGTGTATACAGCGTCTTAAATAATGTGATATTAAAATTATCAAATATTTTTGCAAAGAAACTGATTATTCTTCATGACTTGTGCACATTTCACATTTTCAATACATGTTAATACTACTAACCAAAATTATCTGCAGATATAATTTTCTTTCGAGGTTTTCTTTGTTTAACTTCAGCAGGCTTTTCAATCTTCTGTAGTATAACCACTGGTTCCTGTAATGTAGAACATGCTACCCTCATTAGAATTTTAGGTTCTCACAATGGCAATATGAAGATGGTTATTTTCTAGGTTGTAACACCATGTAGTCTGCTAGAAGTTTATTAATATTTCAGAGATGCTTGCTGCCTTTATCTTCAGGGCCCTCATCACCCTGATAATGGAGGCACCAAGCACCTCTGAAACATCAGTAAACTTTAACCAAACTACATGCTGCTACAACCCAGAAGAAAGCCATCTTCATGCTTACCCTCAGACTCTGAAGATTCTGCTACATAGCAGATTTTGTTGGTTCGAGAAGAATTCTAACTGCCCACATTAATTACAAAAGTTTATAAGTGCAGGTGGTTTATGTAAATTCATAATGGAATGCAGACATCACACTTAAACCTGAAGAAATAATATAGTGATGTCAACACAATAATGGACTACTAGTAAATATAAGCCACATCCATAAAGTGTACACATCGTTAGTCTTTCAGTATACTTTGTATGCCTTCGTAACGAGTCTGCGTTTCTTCTTCGGCTCATCATCATCTTGATCTGTCACTGGTTCATCATTCTCCTCAATACTGAAGTCTGAATCTACCTCATCCTCTCCTTCTTCTTCAGACCTGTTTTAAAACAAGGCTTTTAGCTGGCTGTTGGTATACAAATTGGTAGAAGTTCACACATTTCAGTATGATGAGTACTCATCACCCTAATGACTGAGGTAGCAAGCACCTCTGAAATGTCAGTAAACTTCTACCTGACTACATGGCATAACAAACCAGAATCCAGTCATCTTGAGTTTATCATCTCATTTGTGTTTTTATCTCTACACTTGTGTGTGTTTGTTTAATTTCATTTAGTGGTTTCCATCCTCTTATATTCTTCTAGTTGCAACACAACCACAATTAGTATTTATAATGCACTGCTCTGTTATTACTTGACTGTTTAATTCATCAATCAGTGTGTTATAGAAAGAAGAAAAGAAGAACAGAGTTTTTGTACATGTCAGGGTACTTGAACCACTTCCCCCTTTATTAATTTGAAATGCTGACAAACATCAAATATAAACTAATAAGACCCCAAAATAAAGGGATAAAAGTAGCAAATCCACAGGATGGTACATACATACTTTGTATACTTACCAAGAGATTTAAGGTTTTCCTGTTCAGTAATTTTAGCTTCTTCCAGTAATTCCTCTTGAGTGGGCTGCCATTCATCCCGAGCCCTTGCTCGCCTACCTTTACGTCTACGTCCTTCTTCAGTTCGTTCTTTTAAGCGCTGCAGAGTTGCAGCTGATTTGGCTGCAGTTGACCGTCTGATTGATTTGCGTTCTAATGAAATATTAGGTTTATATACTACACGTGTTGCTACATATGTTTTAAATATTGGAAAGTTAATATAAATCCTGTGTTTCATTCAATGTGACTAACATACTGTTATTTATAAAAGTGTATACAGCGTCTTAAATAATGTGATATTAAAATTATCAAATATTTTTGCAAAGAAACTGATTATTCTTCATGACTTGTGCACATTTCACATTTTCAATACATGTTAATACTACTAACCAAAATTATCTGCAGATATAATTTTCTTTCGAGGTTTTCTTTGTTTAACTTCAGCAGGCTTTTCAATCTTCTGTAGTATAACCACTGGTTCCTGTAATGTAGAACATGCTACCCTCATTAGAATTTTAGGTTCTCACAATGGCAATATGAAGATGGTTATTTTCTAGGTTGTAACACCATGTAGTCTGCTAGAAGTTTATTAATATTTCAGAGATGCTTGCTGCCTTTATCTTCAGGGCCCTCATCACCCTGATAATGGAGGCACCAAGCACCTCTGAAACATCAGTAAACTTTAACCAAACTACATGCTGCTACAACCCAGAAGAAAGCCATCTTCATGCTTACCCTCAGACTCTGAAGATTCTGCTACATAGCAGATTTTGTTGGTTCGAGAAGAATTCTAACTGCCCACATTAATTACAAAAGTTTATAAGTGCAGGTGGTTTATGTAAATTCATAATGGAATGCAGACATCACACTTAAACCTGAAGAAATAATATAGTGATGTCAACACAATAATGGACTACTAGTAAATATAAGCCACATCCATAAAGTGTACACATCGTTAGTCTTTCAGTATACTTTGTATGCCTTCGTAACGAGTCTGCGTTTCTTCTTCGGCTCATCATCATCTTGATCTGTCACTGGTTCATCATTCTCCTCAATACTGAAGTCTGAATCTACCTCATCCTCTCCTTCTTCTTCAGACCTGTTTTAAAACAAGGCTTTTAGCTGGCTGTTGGTATACAAATACACAAATTGAAGGGTTCTGTGAAAAGTTCAAAATCGGAACACAGGATGGCTCCTCTTTCAGAAAAAGTAATGAGTTGTGCCATGATTTTTTCAAACCCTGATTGTCCAGTGTGTAATCAGTTACTACACTCACCAAGCTACTCCAGGTCATCCAGTACACATCATAAACATCCCATAATATTGTTGATATGATGGAAGTAATAAACTGCTGATTAAAGAAATTACAGCTATGATAATTTCAAAATAAGCCTAGTCAATATTACAGATATTAAAAAAACTTACTGATAATCATCATCATCCTCAATTTCACTGAAGCCTCCATAGGTTGTTTTATAGAAATCATCATCTTCCTCTTCATCAAGAAGTTTGGACATACGGTTCCCAGCATTGTTCCGTCTGTCACGTGTCGTGGCAATCGCCATTTCTTGTAAAATCCTCTGAAGAAGCCACACAGAAATGTTACAATTATTCAAGCTTGGTACTTCCCAATTAATACCACTACTAAGGTGAAGCGTTGGTTTCGTGATTCTTTTACTTAAGAAACATAGGGGTGAGCGGCGTTACTATTGATTAATCTTGTCACATTCGTATAAGTCTGGGTTAAATGACAAAATAATGTCCTCATGTGTATACACGATGCCATAAAGGCGTACTAGTTGTTTGAGACAAAAGTACACATTTTTCGGCAAAACGAACAATTTACTTGTACACAGTCACCATAATAAACGAAAATGGAAGACAGTAACACTTAACATACTAACAATAATATATTTTACTTAAGTAAACAGTGCCAAAAACAGAAAACATAACCTTACACTTTGATCGTCTGCAATGATACTGATTAAATCATGAAATCTTTGTGACACTGAACCATCATTTGAATATGAGTATGCATAATGACATAATTAATATACACTAACATCTCTATAAAGTATCTAATCAGTTATGTTATGTGAATAAAATACAAAACAAATATTTACTTACAATACGAATGTGTACTGATAGAATCACAGTTTCTTTTGTTTTGTTTTGTGTGTAGGGATATCGAAAGGCGATTGTTGGTATGCCTGAGCAATTATGGCCTAACGTCACCGATATAATGACGTCATACGGTTGCGCAGAGGAAGGGGCGTAGGATGTTAGCAGCCATATTGTAATTGTGTGGATCTGTCGGAAGAATTATTTGAGCGTTAACAATATTTTGATTTATCACAAACATCCTATACTATATTGTACGGAAAGTTTTGTGATTTGTTTGTACATATTTTATATTACATTGTAAAGAGTGAAGTGATAGTGTGTTTCGCTTTAACAACGAATCTATCGATTTTTTCTTCTATATAGGGGATAGGGCCTAAATTCCAATTCGAAGATGGGTACTCGAGACGATGAGTATGACTATTTATTTAAAGGTAAAATCTTGTAGTTTCTGGTTTGTCTGTGATTTTGTATGTACTTTTTAATATGTTACGAGTATGATGACGTACGATAGCAGCATAGGCAGTTGGATTATTCATCAGAACGAAATTTGACGTTTTAGGCTTTTGTCACAAACTGTGTGGCTTGCTTGGTCAGTTTGGTGAGCTGAATAAATGTTTGTGTTTCTGTGTATTAGTTCAGTCGTGTCGCCTACATTGTTTCTTGTATGTCGTACACAATATATTTTTCAATGCAAAGTTTGTTATTGATTGCAATTGATGTATGACTTGTATTTAATTTTAATATTCGCAGTTGTACTTATTGGAGATTCTGGAGTTGGAAAAAGTAACTTACTGTCACGTTTCACTCGTAATGAGTTCAATCTGGAATCAAAATCAACAATAGGAGTTGAATTTGCAACTAGAAGTATACAGGTGAGATGTCTGTTGAGTAGAGTTTTAATGTTCAATTTGCAGTTGTGTGTGTATAGGATACCACTTGTGATGCTTGTAACTGTAATGGAGTAGTATGTAATATTAATATGACCTCAAATGGATACAGCCTGTCTAACAATGCTAATGTTATTGATATTGGCTTAGATGTGTTGTTTCTGGTCTTACTGGTTATTTCTAAGTTACATGTTGAAACTGGTCACATATTCTAAACATGTACCAACATTTTTGTTAATGACTTACTGTTTAAATAATTTGATAAGTCATTTCTCTTTCTATTAATTGAATATAATAGAACTTGTACAATTATTTGCCAATATTTGTACATTGTAAGGCCAGGTTTGACGCAACAGAACAATGAATGAATACAGGATCCAAAGAACCTCCGTAATGAATTACAGTCATACTTTCCTTTCCAAAATTTCAGTGTTTCTGTGTGCTTTCATTGCTTTTCCTGGGAGCATCATGCCAGAGCTACATAGCACAATCAGATAAACTGTCAGTGATACACTCAATGTCAGTAGCAGTAATACTGCCTTTGCAGTTTGTAATTTATTTTGCTTTGTACGAGTATAATGTACCTATCTTCTAAATCTCATTTGTTTTATCATTGATATCCAGTGGCAATGCTAAAATATCTGTGGGGTGGGAACAATTAAAGTTTTGTTGTAGGACTCAAGTTAGTGACAGCAACTCTTTGGCAGCGAGTTGGAGAGGACAGTTAGACAATCTGCGACACCCAAGGATGAGGTCGATTAGTTTTATCATTGATAACAAGATATGCTCAGTGCTGTGTTTAAGTTAACAGAGGGCCATTTTACACTTGATGTGGCATTACAGAGGGACACTGTTGATATTGTGAGCACTTGATATAAAATTCCTGCTTGGGGCATGGTGAGAGGATTCTGCATTGGAAATTTCAGAAAGGAAACTTTTCTAGGCCAGAGATTGTAGTCATTTATTCATCTTTTATTTAGCTGTGTTATCAGTAGCTTGGACTGTATAGTGTAGTATGTGATATGATATATATCTGGGGTAGCTCAGTCAGTAGATAGTAGAGTTTATTTACATTCCATAGATCCTTCTTAGGACTCAACCAAAGGATGTAGAACATGTCATTTCATACAATATACATACACTTCAGAACTTTCAACACTACTTTCTTCACAAGTACAAGAACGCAGTTCACATATCAATGTACATAAATTTCAGATTCTGTAATACAAGTATGAAAAATAATTTTACAAATTAATATACATAAACCTCAAAGTTTTAAATATAAATACAAAACTTGCTTTACATATACGTAGATTAT